GAGTTATCGTCGCCGGAGTTCATAAGGTTTATCGAGCTGAGCAGAAGAGATGTGGTCACGAGCTCCGGCTTTATCCTCAACACCTGCAGGGAGGTGGAGAGCGAGTTTCTCGATATTCTAGCCCTGCGGGAGGATTTTCTCGACAAGCCGATATTCGCCATCGGACCGCTCAATCCTGTGCCGGTAATTATCTCTGTGCCAATTGCCAAATGATCATCAGTTGTTAGATATCAAATAATGCTTTTTTTTCTAGCTCTTAACTATCGCCTTTTATCCATGCTTAGCATAACTTTATACAAATCTGTTTATGCAGATTCATAACAACACAGATATCAATCGCGACGAGTGCTTGGAGTGGCTGGACGGGCACCCACCTTGCTCGGTCGTGTACGTATCCTTCGGCACCATGTCAACAATTTCTGACGAGCAAACGGAGCAGCTGGCCTCTGGGCTTCGTCGAAGTGGGCACCGCTTTCTTCGGGTCCTACGAGATGCCGACCGGGCTGACATCTTCGCCTTTGAGAGCAGTAGTCGGCGGCTGCCGGCCGGGTTCGAGAAGGCGGTGGAGGGGGTGGGAAAGGTGGTGAGGGGATGGGTGCCGCAACTGGACGTATTGGCCCATCGGGCCACGGGCGGGTTCATGAGCCACTGCGGGTGGAACTCGTGCATGGAGGCCGTGAGCTGCGGGGTGCCTGACACCGTTCAAGAACAGAAACAATCGAACAGGTGATTTTCTGGAGATCGAAGGAGCTCGATCTTCAGGGGCCCACGTGGAACGTCGTCTCCAAAGCCAAGAATACAATTCAAAAGGGCTATACAATTGGCAACAGAAACAGCTATAGAATATGGAAAGAAAGAAACCAAACAGACTATAACGGTATCAGATTATTTCTAAGACACTCCTGTGTCATTCTCCTGGGGTGGGAAGAACGTCCAGATCGTAGTGAGGCGTTAAGTCGGCGACATTGAATGTTGCAGAAATCTGGTAATCACCGGGAAGATCTATCTGATATGCGTTATTGTTGATCTTCTTGATTACACGAAAAGGCCCATCAGCTTTATTTTTTAGTTTAGAAAAGGCTCCAGGAGGAAATCTTTCTTTTCTAAGCCTAATCCATACAAGATCCCCTTCTTTGAACTCAACAGAGCGGCGAGTCTTATTCGCTTGTTTCCGACATTTCTCATTGTGCTTTGCTATTGTTTCTTGAACCTGCTTATGAAGTTGCTGAATTTCCAGGCCTCGTTGTTCCGCATCGGTGCTAAAAGCAGTCTGCTGTATAATGGGAACTAAATCCAGCGGCGTCACTGGGTTATACCCATAAGCAACCTCAAACGGGCTTCTTTTGGTGGCTTGACTAATAGACCGGTTGAATGCAAATTCAACCTGAGCTAATATAAGATCCCATTGTTTAATATTTTTCCCCACAAAACATCGTAGAAGATTTCCCAAACTCCGGTTCACTGTTTCAGTTTGGCCATCCGTTTGGGGATGAGCTGCCGAACTAAATTGTAATCTGGTGCCAAATTTTCCCCACAAAGTCCTCCAAAAGTGACTCAGGAACTTGACGTCTCGATCAGATGTAATTGTCTTTGGAATTCCGTGAAGACGGACAATCTCCCTAAAGAATAAATCGGCGATATGAGTGGCATCCAACGTCTTATTGCATGGAACAAAATGGACCATTTTGGAAAAACGATCCACCACTACCATGATAGAGTCTTTGTTCCTTTGCGTACGGGGGAGGCCAACAACGAAATCAATACTGATGTCTACCCACGGTGAGCTGGGCACAGGAAGCGGTGTATACAATCCTGCATTAGTGCTGGTGGTCTTTGCTCTCTTACAGACTTGGCAATTTTGTACAAACCGCCCAACATGCTTCCTGAGTGATGGCCAAAAGAAATTTTCACACAGCAGCTCGATGGTCTTTTCTCGCCCAAAATGGCCTGCCAAATTTCCTTCGTGGCTCTCTGAAATAAGCGTCAAACGAAGAGAGCAATTCGGAATACACAGACGCTGCTTAAAGAAGAGATATCCATCTTTGATGTGAAACAGTTTAAAAGGACCTTGAAGACATTGTTGCCAAATGTTCCCAAAATCAGCATCTTCTGCATATAGGTCCCGTATGACTTCAAAACCAATGACCTGGTTCTGTAGTGTTTGCAGAAGGACATACCGTCTACTAAGCGCGTCGGCCACCTGATTATGATGTCCTGCTTTGTGCTTCAAAACATAATGGAACGCAGATAAGCTTTCAGACCACTTAGCGTGTCTCGCTTTGAGTTTCTTCTGATGGCAAAGATACCGTAGAGCTTCATGATCAGAGAAGAGCACGAACTCGTTTGACAGCAAATAGTGACTCCAATGCTGCAGGGCTCTAACTATCGCATAGAACTCCTTGTCGTATGTAGAATATTTGCGTCTTGCATCACTTAACTTTTCACTAAAATAAGCTATAGGATGACCCCCTTGAGTTAGTACAGCCCCAATGCCTACATTTGAGGCGTCACATTCGACCTCAAAAGCTTGGTCGAAGTCAGGTAAGTTTAGCGTGGGAGCTGAAGATAATCTCTGTTTCAGCTCCTCAAAGCTTGTCTGTGCCGCCGGGTTCCATTCAAATTGATTGGCTCGGAGAATTTCCGTCATCGGAGCAGCAATTGTACTGAAATCCTTGATGAATCTTCTGTAGAAAGACGCTAGACCATGAAAACGGCGAATGTCTGTGAACGACTGGGGAACAGGCCAGCTGCAGACGGCCTCAACCTTATCAAGATCAACCTTCAACCCTTCAGCAGAGAGTTGATAGCCCAAGAAT